ATTTGCTTGATACACAGCTTTTATTTTCCCCCCCATTAGTTTTAACACAATCCCCCTGCTGTTTAGCAAAGCTGAAATGAACATGTTGCCAGGCTGAGAGAGATAGTATTTCTGGATCTAGCAGAATTTTTTTCACATAAATAAAACCAAATTCTTTCTGGTAGGTTCCAATTATTCAAATAGTGGATAAGAACACTGCTGTTAGACTGGAAGAGAACAGATCCTTCCAATTACTTATTATACTTCATACCAGTGGAAAACATTAGGTCTCCAAAAACCATGAGTAGAAATTTCTGTTAAAACACAAACTTCCTCTTGACTTTTTAATAGGGGTTATTAAGAACCATTGGAGAAAATATTTGTTGCTAATAGTGAAGGCTGATTTTTTTCCTTCATAGTAGCATGTATTAACAAATGGCTGTTTTCAGGTGTGTGTGAAAGGGCCAAATGTCTTTCGTGGCTATTTGAAAGATCCAGAAAAAACAGCGGAGGCTCTGGACAAAGATGGCTGGCTTCATACAGGAGATATTGGGAAATGGCTACCAGTAAGTTAACTTACATAGCTGAAATGGTAATTCTACAGTTATTAGCAGAAATTTAACAAATATATTAGAAAACATTTGCTATTGAATGGACTTAGGTGMAAGACAAGAATTTGAGGAGGAGGAGAATTACTGTTGTAGCTAAATCTGTGTGCCTGGAGCTAAAAAAGTATTTGTAGTGCCAGTCCTGAGGCTTTCCCCAGTTTAGATTAGATGTATCCATAACCTGTTTTCTTCTAACATTCATTTCACAGTACTCTAGCCCAGTTTTAYTGTGCCAGTGTGGTATTCCAAATTTGGGTAGATTGCTTTTTCACTTGAAGCACCTCTTCTGAGTGAAAGTTATTTCTGTCAACAGAATGGTACGCTGAAGATCATTGACCGGAAAAAACACATCTTTAAACTAGCCCAGGGAGAGTACATAGCACCAGAGAAAATAGAGAATGTGTATCTGAGATGTGAAGCACTTGCACAGGTGTTTGTCCATGGAGAGAGCTTGCAGGTAAGCATTTTTCAAGTAATTAAAAAAACTATTTTAAAAGGAGACTGCTGAAGAGTCTTCCTTCCTTTCTTCTCCCACCCCAAACTTTAGGATTGAAATTTAAATTACCTTAAATTTTTATYGTTACACATTTTGATTCTGATTGAACTCCAGAAGTTACAGAGAATGTTTCTRGATTTAATTTCAGAGCAGGTTGTAGAGCTGAACTAATTTGTGTATTAATTGTAATATAAATTGCTAACAGCGTRCAGAGGGAAAAACCCAAAAAACAAAGAAACAAAAACCAAAACAAACAAAAAAAGAAAAAAACCCACACCAAGAAAGAACCTGGGTATCTTGTGGGTTTGCAACTGTAAATAAAAATGTGGGTCATAAGAGTAATTCTTTCAATTCAGCTTCTGAACTTCACTCCYGTGTTCAGGTAGCAGAAAGCTGCTGACTTTACAGCAGGATCAGAAATGCTTCCTGAAGTCTAGCTGACTAGTAAGAAATGTGTAGGAACTAAAATGTTGACTTAGGAATTGAATTTTTGTCATTTTTTTTTTTTTTAGGCCTTCTTAGTAGCTGTTGTGGTACCTGATCCTGATACTCTGCACAACTGGGCCAAGAAAAAGGGATTTGAAGGCTCCTATCAAGAGCTATGCAAAAACAAGGTAAGACATATCTAACTGAACAGTTGGCTGCTCTGCATCAGTGTTTTCAAGTTAATGCTTATGCAAGCATGAAGCTATACAATGTATTTCTGTATCCACAGGATGTCAAAAAACACATTCTGGAGGACATGGTGAGAGTTGGGAAAGAATCTGGTTTGAAGTCATTTGAACAGGTATGATGCTTGTGAGAACCAAATACCTAATTTTTTTAACTTCGCAACACCAATACGATCTGATTCTCCAGAAACTGCTTTTAATTTGTGTCTGAAAAACTTCTCAAGTGCCAGGCTTTTCTATGATGTCTGGGCAAGTTTTAATAGTCTTGTCTACTTCAAGGAATACTGTTTGACTAGTAACTTTTTATTTTTCAGGTGAAAGACATTGTCCTGCACACTGAAATGTTTTCTATTGAAAACGGCCTGTTGACACCAACATTGAAAGCAAAGAGACCAGAACTGCGAAAACACTTCCAGTCACAGATAGATGAACTTTATGCTAATGCCAAAATGTAACATGAATGGAATGAAGAAAGTGGCACATGTCTGTCTACTGTTGGCCTTCATATCTGTATTTTGACTACAGCAAAAATAGGGAAGGAAACTGTGCAATCATTAACTTGTACAAAAATGGGTACTTGCCATAGGAACACTGAAGAAATGGAACACTGCCTTACTGTCAAGTTGTGTTGCATACTGTTTTTATGGTGACCTACAATTTCCAAAAAGAGCCTTAACTATAAATGGTAACTATATGTAAGTTATTTAATATTTCCTTGGTCAAAAATGGGATTCACCTTCACCAAGGAACTAAGGTTTTATTGCCAGCATGTTTGCTGTCTGCAGTGTGTTTTGCAGTTGTCAATTCCACAAAGGATTTGGCAGCTTTGAAAATGCCTCTAAGTATCTTGCATCCTCAGAAAAATTACTTAATCTGTTAAAAAAAAAAACAAAACCCCACCTAACCACCGAAAACCCCAAAACCTTACAGTTGCATAGCTGGTACCACATCTTCGTTAGTCGCAACAGTAACTGGGGCAAGGCATCTGAGCTGTATCTCCCTTCCACATCTGCAGCCAGTTATGAGTTGTTCTTCAATAAGGTAGAAGCCAGCACTCCACACAAAGAAGTCTGACCAGAAGGTCCTCAGAGTAAGTCTGCATATGGTGGTTCTGCACTGTGTGGATGCAGTTCATTCAGCAGGTGTAGCCTCTGCTACGTTAGYGTGATTCTGGAGTGGTGCCAGCCCTGCAAATGGGCAGATCCCAACTCTGTCAAGAACACTAGAGATCTAAAAACCAAATCAGGAGGCTGGGCTATGCTAACAGTCAGGGTAAACATTGTACCTGTACTAGCCACTTGTTTCCCTGTAATGAACTTATATTTAAAATGCATTTTATAAAAATGCACCAGGCCCTTTGCAAGTGGAAGAGCTTCTAACATAACCTCTGTTTTCTGTGCTTTATGTATGAGCCACTGAGTATTCTTCACTGAATAGCAAAATAGGTCAGGTAGAATGTTTTTGCCTGATGCTTTGCAGCAATTGGAATTGTTTATCTATGCCAACAGAACTGTGTTGGCCCAGGATAGGTATTTGTTCAGGGATTAAAAACCTAATTCCCAGATAACTAGTTATTATTTTGCAATTTATCTTGTTTGAAAAATCAGCAGAAATAAGCCTTATGAAGCATAAGTCTTTTGCTATCCTTAACAGAGTTGGTTTTGCATTAACATTCATTGCTGTTTTTTGAAAACATGGATATATGTAAAATACAAGCACAACAAGGTTTGCACTAAGATTGGTGTGTGATTGTAATGCACTACTCTGTAGCATAATTTCATAYGTGTATGCAATTCAGGTACACAAATCCAAGTCAACTGTTAGAGCAGTAGTTTGTTACATTGAAATTCAAATGTTTGCTTAGTGTTGGCCATTTCTATGTTTTATAAAACCAAAACAATTTTCAAAACCAATGAAGGAAACCAAAATAAATATTTCTGCATTTCAAGGCTGTGATGTTTGTTTTTCAAGGAAAAATGCTGCTGACTAACAAGCCCAGGTGTAACTTTTTAACTGAGAAGCTGTAAATCTCCACTGCTACAGACATGCTAAATACAGTATAAGGCTGGTTGTTAACACTTTTACTTTTGGAAAGTGACTTTTTATGTTTAGGGTGTTGGCCAATCTTTGTAAAGAAAGGAATGCTGTTATATTTAACTTGCTCTTTCAGTACATTTCTAAACAAACAATTTTTTTYTCTTTTTCTGATGGTTGTGTTCTTACCATCACTTCCAATTCCTTGACTGAAAGCTAGAGTTTTCAGAAACTCTTTTGCAGCTTCTGGGTGGTAGTGGGTTTCCTTATTCCATACCATCCATTTGACCTAAATTGAGGGTATGGTATTTCAGGGGCTAAGTTAATAGACCAGGTAGAGGAAGTACCCACACTAGGACAGTTTATAGCTCTGTGGGAATACAGATGTCATTATGAKATATTAAACACTCTTCTGTTCCTATGCCTGGTAGAGTTTCGCTTCTTAATTTTGGATGTTCCTTTATACATTTTTTTTCCCTACTGCAGGAAACCTAAACCAAATTTGTCACTTACTGAAGGACATAATCTAGTATCCTGCTTGGAAAGATGGGSAAGGGTCACCACACCTCTTCTAGTGGAGATAAATGCAGTTCTTATCCATTTCTGAGCGAACGTTTATGTTGTTAACATTAAAAAAGCCTTTCTAGAAAAGCCCTCCATCACTACAGAAATAAGACAGGGGCCGGGTGCTATAGCCAGCAAAGCAGAAGTGTAAAGAGAACTGACTCCTAAAGTGATTATTTCACCGTTTTAGCTTATTTGATTGACTAAAGCAGGGGTGGTTAGGAGAATCCTCCGGAACATTAAATTGACTTCCGCGGGCCTAGGCCTTGGCCGACGCCGGGGCGGGGCTGTGGTGGTGCTGTCCCGGTTCCCGTTCCGGCCTGGCGGCTCCTCCCGCTCCTCCCCTTCCTGCCCGCCGGGGCCGCGCGCGCAATTCCAAAGGCGGCGGGAGGCGCCAAAGGCGGCGGGGACCGCGCTGAGGGGCCGGGCCCGGGGAGCGGGGCCGCGCTGAGGGGCCGGGCCCGGGGAGCGGGGCCGCGCTGAGGGGCCGGGCCCGGGGAGCGGGGCCGCGCTGAGGGGCCGGGCCCGGGGAGCGGGGCCGCGCTGAGGGGCCGGGCCCGGGGAGCGGGGCCGCGCTGAGGGGCCGGGCCCGGGGAGCGGGGCCGCGCTGAGGGGCCGGGCCCGGGGAGCGGGGCCGGGCACGGGGAGCGGGGCCGCGCTGAGGGGCCGGGCACGGGGACCCGCCTTTGGGCGCCTGACGGGGCAAGGGGGCACCTGCGGGACAGGAGCGGCAGCAGTGGAGCGAAGGTACCGGCGGGAACTTCGGCGTCGCGCTTACTTTTTCATGTGCCTGGCTCACTGATACGTGCTGTATACATGTATATTAAATCTCTACGTCGGTCCGGGCTAAGGAGGTGAGTTGTACTGCTTTTGAAGCGAGTCGAGCATCATAAGTTGAAATAACAAAGATTTCCCGTTTTCTGTCAAGTACAGACGCAGAGGAAGCTGGTTTGTATCGGGGACAATTTTGCACTGATTTTATCCTTTTCTATCCAGCAGCATATATTGAACAAAATGTCCTCGAAGAAGAAAATAAAGAAGAGTCATACCAGCTGTAAGCTACAGGTAAGTTTTTCTAGGCTAGGCAGAATTTAAGCAGCCAGTGTTTTGTTTTTGTAGAAAGTGTCCAAAGGAGGGCCGCAAGAACCGGGAAGGGCCTTGAGGGCGAGCTGTATGAGGAGCAGCTGAGGTCGCTTGGTCTGTTCAGCCTGGAGGAGACTGAGRGGAGACTTCATTGTGGTCTCAGCTTCCTCACAAAAGGAATTGCAGGGGCAGACACTGATCTCTCGGGTGACCAGTGACAGGACCAAAGGGTGTGACACGAAGCTCTATGGGGAGTTTTAGGTTGGATATCAGGAAAGAGTTGTTCCTCAGAGGGTGTTTGGGCACTGGAACAGGCTCCCCAGGGCAGTGGTCACAGCACCAGCCTGACAGAGTTCAAGAAGTGTTTGGACAACACTCTGAGGCACTTGGTGTGGCTCTTGGGATGTCCTGTGCAGGGCCTTGATGGTCCCTTCCAATGCAGGATATTCTGTGATTCTGTGTTGTGTCACTGTGCAGTTTAGGGCTTTGTCTCTGGAGGTGGATGTACAGGGATTAATAAATTCAAAGTTGCTTTGCACTGGGAACTGYTGTGCAGTCCCTGCTGGGGCCAGCTTGGGGTGCAGGCATTTCTTTTCTTCCTCTTAGGAACCATGCAAAATGGACCACTGACTTTCAAACAGGCAAAAATTTAAAAGCAGTCTCATAAAAGAAAATGTATAGATGAAACAGTTGATGTGTGAAACGTATACCTTGAGGAAAAATACACTTGAAATCCTTATGCCATAGCTCAGGATTTGATAYAGTTCTGGCTAAGTGTATTTCTAGTAATATATTCTTGAAATTCRTTGTCATATTTAATGTTGTGTACTCAAAAAGCTGGATAAATTGGCTGTTAATTTCATACCCATCAAGAAGCAGAAAGCCAACTCCAATCTTCRTCGGAAATCGCTTCCACTTGTGGAACCAAATGTCTCAAGGATATTGAAGGTATCAGAAACAAATCAGCTTGAGGAGCTTGATGATTCCTTTGGTTAGTATTTACTTGAATGTCATTTATTGTAGGATTTTCACAAACCAACCACATGGGCAAAATACTTCAGTGCTTACCTAGGAAAAGGTTTTGGTTCTTTTCAAGAGTAAGTAATGGATAAGGAGAGACAGATGGGATTTTTTGTTATTTTTCTATAATTTAGGAAGTAACAATAATGCTGTAATATGTGGAAATAAAAGTCAGTGGAAAAATGTGGGCTATTCCAGTTTRTAGTCTGAATGATAAATTTCACACATAATATTGCAGTTGTGTAAGAACAAACCATTAAACACCGAAGTTCAATATCTTAACTTCTTCTTTATTRAATTACACAAATTATGAAGTGAAATTTTTGCTATTGTAAGAGTATTCATGTCAGCAGACTTGATCATTAACAGGGGTGTTGTCCTGCCTCTTTCAAATGTTACTTAAAATTGCATGGTTTTATGTTAATTTTTTTTGTGAAAGATTAAAACCACTTCCATGCTTTGTATTGGACTTGTGAAATGAGAGCTCAATATACAGGAACAGAACCAATTTAGATGGAATAGATGCTCCTGTGTGGAATCCTCTGTCATATCTGTATTTATCTGTGTGTGTATATACATATATACATATATGTAAATTATATATGAAAAACACTGTAATTAGAAGCTGTAGAGAAAAAGTTAAGAAATATTTCTCAATGCAGTATTTATTGCTCTGAGAAAATTATGGAAATATAAATGTTACCTCTAGAAAGAGCATTGAAAATGAGCTATAAAAAACAATTTAGCAAAAGGGTTGTTTATAARGCAAGGCTGCAAAATTAAAAGCTCTTTTCCCTATTTCTGTGGTATTTATTTATAGTATAAAAAGGATGGCCACAGAAACTAATGTAGACTAACACAAAAATTTGGTGGCAGTGTGTTTGAAAAAATAAATTTATACTATGGAAGGCATGCTAAAACCTTAAATTTCTCAGATTTCTAATCTATTTTGATAGCTACCTTCAAGGATTCTACACTTACAAATATTCTGTAGCAGCAGTAATTGCCTTCTTATAGCATCCACTAAAGAAGCTTAAAAACTATACTAAAAAAATATAGGGAAGTAGTTGTTGAATGTGTAAAAGGTTTATGCATGCCATAGCAAAGGAGAATTGAAACAAACTGTAGTTCAAACACAAAATGGTTTGTGTGCTTTATGCTATGTGTACATGCTGAGCTGCCTTTGGTTTGGATTTGTAAAGGAAGAGCAGGTGGATGGGTACAGAAACTATGAAACTTTTCACTGTATATTTTTTCATGATCCTCAAATAATACTTGTAATGAGAATTCCCTTCTAATCAGTGAGCAAACCACAAATATTCTAACTAAATGCTAATGGCAGGCAGTACTCTTTGCCTTAAAAGATGGGAGCATTGTTAATACAGTTTATTTTCTGTTCTTTATAGAGCACCCTTTGCATAGTACTGCTGTGGATGCTTATGGTGAGGAACATTCAGAAAACCAGTCACTTGGTCRTGTTTCAGCACCACAAAGGCAAAATACAGACAGACGGTATGGTGGGAAAGAAGTAAAATTGTCAGCATTGAATTTAATCTTTAGAGTTTTAGATCTAAAGGGAAAAATGTTCAGTTTGTCAGGTTTCCCTCGTTGCTTGTAAAGCAGATGCTTGAACTCAAAATTCCACAGGTAAGAAACCAAATGAGTAAATAAGGTTGGAGATTGTAGAAAAGAAATGGGAGAATGGTTTGCATCTGCCATCTGTAAGCAGTGGAGTGATTTAAGTACTTACTGCATTGTTTTTATATGAAAGGATTTTATAATAACTCTGTGAGGTATCAATTAGTTCTCTAAATGCTGGTGTCTAAAGTTAAAAGGTGGAAAAATTGAAAAATGGGTAGAAGCCAGTTAAATTATATGTAACAAAAAAATTATTTTAAAAATATKTTTAATTCAAATTTTAGTATATTTCTTAGCTGTTAAATCAAACCTGGTTTAAATCAGAAATTGTCTTGCTATTTAATTCAAACAAGAACTTTAGTCGTATTCATGTGAGACAGCTGAACAAAAGGTTCCCCAAAACCTTTTGTTTTGTTGTGCATATGGTTGAAGATCATTCTTTTTCGGAGGATAATAGGGTATGCTTTTGTTTTCCTAGTGAAAAACGGCGTCGCTCAAAGCCTTCCAATGGTGATGTTCAGAAATCCAACACAACTGATGCTGGAGAGGAGCCGCTTAAGGAGACTACGGTACAGAAAAAGTTGCATGAGTATTATCAGTCAATTTAATTTTAGTTTACTTCCTGCCATGCCTGCCTTAGAGGGTGGGGGGAGAAGAAGACCTTAGTATTGCCTTGGTACTTAATTGTGTCAAAAATAATCAATCCTCAAAGTATTCCAATGAGACGGCCAAGTAAAATGCTTAAAGTTACAAGTCATCATGTCAACAAGGAATATAGTAGCCAGGTATTTCTGGATCTTGTAGCCTATTCTGTGCTCATTTGGGMGTATGTTCTTTCCATCTTTCAAATATTTTCTTTGTATCTAGAATATATGTTCTTAAGGAAYGGCATACTAGATGGAATACGAATCCTTTTTACATGTTTGGTATTGAAAGAAAATACATTTATGAGGGAAAAAGAATATTGATGAAATTAATTTTGAATATGTCTTAGAATTAAAAGCCATTCRCTTCCGAATGAGTGTTTTTCCACACTTACTTCACAATTAGTGTAAAATGCCTTTGGCCCACTTAGCTTCGACACATACAGCAGGAGTTAATCTGCAGGCTTGAGAAAGTAACCTATGATAAAAGAAGCTGTGCTGTAGTTTACATAAGAGTTTTTTATGGCTTGAAATTTTCAAATTGTACGCTCAGTACAGAGTATTAGTCAGTACTGTTCCATCGGTAGGCTGGATGCATGCAGCACTATTGTAGAAGTGCTGTTGGTCACCAAGCAGTCAAAGGAGAGAATGGATTGGGACAGAATGGATGAAAAGGAAGGTGAGCAGGCACTGTTGATCAGAGAAATGTCAGTCCTGGGTAGTGACTGTGCTGAACCAAAGCTCCTTYGGATGTCTCCAGCCCTGCTGCAGGGCCAGTGGCTGATGGGTCAGTGGCCGGTGACATCAGGCAGCTGCTGTACCACACCAGGGTGAYCACAGGGCTGGGACTGGTGGAACAGGAAATGTTACTGATGCTGCAGTCAGAAAATGCTTTCCTGCATTCTGTCTAATTGCTATATCTCAGGATTTGAAATGAGTAAACCTAGGGTTTATTTTGGAAGTTAATCTGCTTTTCATACCACAGAAGACTTCAAATACTACTCAATTCTCGGCCAAAAAGAAGCAGCCTTCAGAGAACACATCAGATCCTTCTGGTAAAGTAGACTTTTCAGAACTCCCATATAGCTTTTCTTCATTCAGGATCAATGTTTTTCAACAGTTAACATTTCTAGAATGTAGCAACACCGTGCTTCTAGAAATGGGAAGTTTTAGTTTCAGTTTTGATGCAGAGCTCCATTTGATCCCTGTGGTTTGCATCCCTGGTCTTGCCTATTYGTCTCTTGAAGGGGTGAAGAATAGCTGTGCATTATATCTCTAACGCAACCTAGTTCCTTTTGGAGGGATGCCTGGAGCCATGGCTATGAAGCTGTAGGAGGTGTCAGTACATTGCTTAGTCTGGAAGCCTGGAGCAGGAGCTGTGGGACAGAACTTGGAGTGCCCCTGCTTGCAGCGCAGGCACAGCTGTTTGTGTAAAGACTTTTGAGACAGGGAGCTTCAAGACAGTGGCATTTTTCAATAGGAAGACACTGTCTCTTGTGCCATCTGGCTTCCTTTGAACAGGACCCCATCAAGTTTTAGTACTAGATTTACATTTGGAAGTGTGTAAAGAAACATGGTTTAGCTTTTTGTGGAATTGGTTAGTAATACTGTTGCAAAGTTTAAAGAAATTTATTTGTGTAAAAACTCCAGTGAGTTTTTGAAGCATGTATGATATTAATAAAAGAATGTGTACAAATACAAAAGCTCACAATTCTTTAAATAATACAAGTTGCAAATTCAGGCTAATAGTTGTTTAACACAAAAAAATATTGTCTACAGTACACTGTAGATTATAATTTTACTGATGCATTCCTGGGGTTGCTTCAATTCATAAAGAATTAAGAATTAAGTTGCATATCATTGATCATCCCAGTTCTAAAGTGTTCCCAGATAAATCCAGCATAGTTGCTCATTCGAAGACAAATTAAATAATTCACATATCCCTCTTCTCAAACTTCAAATTAAAATAATAGCTTTTTGATGGTGGGTACAAGAATTTTTCTATTGTTTTAGAACACATGTGTGAATTGTGCAATGCTTTCATTTATTCTGTTGTTCCAGTGGATAGCCCACATTTTGTACAGGTTTGGTGTCCCAAAGAGTTGAAGAGATCTCCTAGAGATATTACAGAACTGGATGTTGTTCTAGCTGAAGTTGAGAAGATAACAGCAAATTACAGGTAAATATTCTACTTTCCTGTGACTGAGTATTCAAGGGTTTAAAAAGAAATACTTGTGGTTTTGCTAAAGGGCTGTCCTTTAGGGAATCAATATTGCATGGTTATATCCTGATGTTAATTAATTAATCTRGTGATTATTAAGTTTCTATGATACAAATACTTTTTCACATGTGATYTTGACATGTCTCCAAGGATTTCATATTTTTCCAAACATGAAGAACACATCTCAGATGACATTTTTCAAGGTAGAAATTAAACCATTGCTAATATACAAAATATGTGCAGTTGTCTAGCTGCTTAACTTTGGATTTTATTTGTTACTYAGATAAATTATTTTGGATCAGATTTCCCCTTTACTAAACCAAATGGGTTGTGTTTTGTCCCTCTGACTTCTACAGACAAAGCATAGACTCAAACATTTGCAGAAAAGCTATCAATGACTTTTCTTCTGCTTTCAAGGACCAAATCACTGATCTTGTAAGTACACCAGCAATAAAATMAATTTTGTGATCAAAATACCTATGGTTTTATATTGCCCCTTACACATTGATTTTGCAAGTAGTAAAAGTTTCCAATCTCTTGTCAGTATAAGTAATATGAAAATACAGTTTGTTGTGTGCATGTTATGATTAGCTGCCTCTGTGTAGACTTTCACAAGAACTGCCTCTAGACACAACACTGCTGTCATGCAGGTATTTTGCAAAACTGTCAGCTTTGCAAAATTGTTCTATTTGAGAATAGGGAAGCATAAAAAAATCCTGAAGTGTTTATCATATCTAAATCATTATGTAGTAAAACTGGAGAGCTGCATCATTTAAATGAGAATGCAGCTATGTCAAACACTGTTCTAAAAGCTCATGGACTAAAGTTTTAAAAGGTTGGTGATTTGATTTTTGTGCTCTCTCAGTGACTTGTGAGTAAGGTCTCTACCACGGTCCCGGGAAAATAATCTTTCTTAAATTAACATCTTGATTATAATGGTAAGTGTAAGATATTCAAGAACCATCTGGACACAATCCTGTGCCATGTGCTCTAGGATGACCCTGCTTGAGCAGAGCAGGGAGGTTGGACCAGAAGACCCACTGAGGTCCCTTCCAATCTGGCCCATTCTGTGATTCTGTAATAAGCTTATTGGCTGGAAGGATTAAGATGATTACAATGAGTAAAATGAACTCAGAACTTTGCAGGAGTTGTGCTGAGTACAGTGGGTAAGTACTAAAKCTATAGTTCTGAGTGGTTTCATTAGAAGTAACAAGTGTTAGAATTACCAGATTTGTACATCTATATAAATATATAGAAGAATTAAGGTAGGTCATATTGCTGTAATTGGTACAAGGAGTATTACTTGCACTGACTCATTTTGTGCAACAGTTTTCCTCTGGCATGAGGAKAGAGGAAAGAATCAATACACAAGCAGTAATGTCCCTTTGAACCAGGGTTGTTTCTCTAAATAGCTTTTGATGTTATTACAAAGTAATTCTTGCAACTATGTTTTTAGGAGGATAATGATGAACTCAAGATCCATTGTCAATCTGTAATTCTTTTCCTCTGTAGATAGCAGGAATCGAGGAATTAAAGAATATGAAGAAAAAGAATGCTAAGGTAAATACATACATACATGTCACTAGATCACGCAGCATCCAGTAGTGGGCATTGGAATGTCAAGAACTTGACTGGAAGAAATAATTGACAAGGAAGTGTACTGAACTCAGAATCAACTGTACAAATAAAGGTTAGGGAACCAGCAGAGGTTTTTTTTAAAAGATCTGAGTAAATATGGTGGAATTCAAACTCCATACGTATACTGCTATATGGTGTAAAAAGAAGTAATGCACATTAGGATGGGTAGGATGTATGCATGTCAATTAATTTTTTTTGGTTTTTTAATGAGTAATGGTGAGGCCTCTGGAGAGCCAAGTTAAATAATGAGAGCTAACCTTAAAGAAGCATAAATTAATACAAAATCTAGGAGAGCAGCAAAGATAACAGCCTGTGAGGATAGAATTGGATTGCTTAATTTAAAGAAGACAAGTCTAAGGGAACTGCATTCCCTGAATATATGCAGAATTTTTGTTCAGAGGAAGACAGTTCCTCTCTTCATTCAGAACGAGTAGGAGTTCAATGAAAATGCAACAGGAATGTTGACAGGAGGCGCTAGTGTAAGGGCAGAAAAACATTGCAGTGGTTTTATCAGTGAGAGGTGAATGCCCTGCAGCAGACATTTAAGAGCATCTTAGGCACTGTCTGAATTTCTGTGCGAGTTAACATCTGTAAAGTTTTCARTGGAATACCAGTTTTAACAAAATCAACATCATAAAGCTTATCCTGGGAAGTAGCAGTTAATATGCTGAAGTCTTGTTGACTTGAGGTGATGTGACTTGAGCATGATGCTCTGCATGTAAAATGAAAATCTTAATACACATCTAGCATTCACAGCCAATCACATTTATCCTTAGTTTCCCTCTTAGACATTTGTTTAAAATCAAATGTTTTGTTGCTAAATTTAATTTTATGATCAGTTTTTGGTGCTACTTCTTTTTTTGTTCTAAATTGGATGTGATACTAAAGAAAGCTTACTTAGTTATGGCAGTTTCACTGAACATGTATTTGTATTAGTTTGCATTTTTTAAAAAAAAAAACCTCCTAGAGTTGATCATATTTGAATTCAAAATGTCACAAATACTTGCAAATCCAGTGTTTTTAAAGAGAAATTTTGGATGGAGATTAGTTTGACCTTTTAAACAGCTTTAAAGTGTTTAAAATAGAAATGTAACATCTGGCAGTTTATAAGGTCTGATATCTTAAAATCTTCCACAATGTGAATCGGCATAAAACCTCAGAGAAAAAAAAAGGCAATGAAATCTGAGTTGTTTACCTTGGAAGTTTTAGAAACTGTTTCACGGACTTTGGTCACTGTTTGTTTCAGGCAATAACAAACATTAAAAAGAAAAGGCAGCRACTGGTGCAACTCAGAGAAGGACTGATTGGGTGAGTTTCTAATGCTGCACAATAATAGCCTGAAGAAATTAAGGAGTGGTATTTTGTAACTCAGAAGCGACAGTAACTTYTTTTGTTTTTTCACTTTATTTTGATGAAACTACTGCTGTCTTGCTTTTTTTTTTTTTTACAAAAGTTCATGATAACCTCTCCTTTACATATGTTTTTTTTTTTTTTTTTTTACAAAAGTTCATGATAACCTCTCCTTTACATATGTCAGTTGCCTAGACTGAAATATGTCATTCTTGCATGTTCTTTTACCTAACTATAGATACTGGGATGGTGTTTCATACCATATGTTCGTAGGAAAAACACCAGTGTTATGATTTGAATTGCAAAGGTGCTAATCATTAATTTACAGAGGTAATACAGAGGACTTTTTTGGTTTTGAGGTGGAAGATTGCATTTCACCTCTGCAGTTTGGCAGGAGCTCCTCTTTGCACATGGTTTGTGTTCCTCTTAGGAGATGGTTTGTTTCCTTCTCTCAATTCCCCTTCTCTGTCTTGGCATTAATCTTAAGTGTCATTTAGATACACAAAACAGAAATTATGTTCTTTGGAAGAACAATTAGATTTCTCCCAAATCCTTCTCATTGCTAGTGACGGGCTTTATACTGACGCTGCATTGAACATACACCCTGTAAGACCACTCTGTAGGGAACCATAGGCTTGGATGCACAAACACAGTGAAAACCTTTTCTCTATGGCCATGAGAGGTGTTTTTCATTGCAGTACTATGGATAAACTTTGCTCAGAGAATTATTTGAAGTCATCCCTCATTAGGGTTTGAGTCCCCTCACAGACTGGAACTTGTCTTCCTGTTTTATGTGTTGCYTTTTAATCCTTTGATCATTTTAAGAAAGGTTTTTTCTGCAACCCTTTTGGATGAAAATAGCTTTTGGTGCTCAGTTTTTGGAGTGCTATTTTAATGGATCAAGCACTCCAGTTTATTTAGCAGTGGTGTAGGTAGTTTGTTGATCCTCAGCATAAGCACTGAACACCTGTGCTTGCAGGCAGGGCTGTGCAGAAACAGAACACCACGTATTCAAGAAACTACAATTGAAAAATTTAAATGCTTAAGAAAGGGTGGCTACATTGTCAGACTCAAAAGAGAGGTTTGGGTCTTTGTGGTGGATTTGGAYTCATGCCCCTGTTTAAGTAATAAACTTGTTCTAATTAAACACTACGCTATAGTAATCTATGTTTTGTATTTCTGACCAACATTTAAGTATTCCTTCTGAGTAAATAGGGTCATGACCAACATTTAAATATTCCTTCTGAGGAAATAGAGTCATAGTTATTCATGCAATAAACATGCAGATGCAAGCATCAAAGTCTTGATCTTTTTTCAGAGCCGAGCTACAACTGACASAACTACAAAGAGAATATGCTGAGGTACAGGAAAGGAAATCTTCCTTGAGGCAAACAGTTGAATTAATTACTGATTTAAAGGAGCTACAGGAAGACTGTTTGGATTACAGAGAAGAAAACCCAAAAGAAAAACTGGTAGTAAGTATATATTCTGCACGTGTTTCAGTTTTATGAATGTATTTATTTTAATTTATTAAGTAAATTTATTAACATTTCTTACATTAAGTAGCAGTATCTTGTTAATTGTCTTTGTGGAGGCAACTTGAAAATCACTGCTGAACTGTACTGTAGTCTCTTTTTTGGTCTCATGGTAGAAGCTGAAGTATTTCAGAGAGGATTCTGCTGCCCTGCTCTCAATGCCCAGGAATTCAAAGGACATAGAAACAAAACAGTTGTCCGTAGTTGTAACTTCTTTATAGAAATTCAAGATTTAACAGTGAGACAAAAGTAATTAATTTCTTTTGTTGTTGTTATTGTTCAAAAGTGGGTAAGGCCCTAGTACTCCCATGTAATATATTTAATGCTAAGAACAGTCCTGGTATTTCACAACCAGATAAAGTTCTGTGTAGTCCTAGAACTCCTTTCCATTGTACCCAAGATCTGGTATGGTATTTTCTGTGGACAAGGCTACACACCTGCCAAGTGTAAGGGAATTCTCACATTTCAGAAAATGCTCTAATTTTGGCTGTTCTTCACTTTTAAAAGTCATGTTGCGCCATTTTAGACAGAGGAAAATTAAATACTGATATGTAAGTTATCTTTCCAGAAGTTAAAGATGTTGCCTTGCAATTTTTATTTCCTTACCAACAGTATGGAACTTCCAGCCTCCCTGCTCTTCTGGTGGAGTCTCGGAGAATTCTGGGGGCAGAAAGGCACTTTGAGAATATCAACAGGAAACTGGAAGAGACTCTGTCTGCACAAAAAGAGAGAAGATCAAATAAAAATTAAGTGTCTTTAAGACTTTCTGGCACTCAGTAGGAACAGTTATTAGAATTGTTAGTGCTTAAAGCTGGCTTAATCATTGTTACTCTATTTTGTTATGGTGTTTAAAAGAAGCCAATGACTTARAGAGTGTATCTTTCTATAGTAAATAGAAATAGTAATCCCAGTTTSAGCAATAAAACTTTCTTGTACACTGTGAACAATGTTCRGTGTTAATCTTGTGCTATTAAGGTAATCTTTAAGAATATATTCCTCTAAAGAAACCACAGCCTTTGGTTGAATAAACACAAATAGACAAATCTTTATTAAATTTGMAGTWGAAATAAATTTTCATYCCRTTTATGGAAATAAAGAAATCTGTTTTGTTGGCTTATCAATAAAACTTGGACATACAATTAACAAACTGAARCTGTACAATAAAGAGCATTAAAAGTGCTAAGCTTGGAGTAGCATTCATGATGAGTTTTTTAGTCCAATCCTCTTCAGCCCCCATATAATCTACCATGATCTCTTCATGCCTGCTGAAGTTCACCAGGCACTCCATTCTTTCTCTTCCAGCTCTCGAGCGGTGCGTTTGAACTACCCTGCAGGACCTTTCACAGAGGTACCCGACACACAAGTGTCCTTGCTGGCTAGGCCTGTGMTTAGCTGCCTTCTTTAGTGCAGGTKTCTTMTTGCCTTAAAGCTTCTAAAAGAAATTCATCTGGGATTTCTTCCATGGCGTAATTCAGACTATCATCTGCAGCTTCAGCTAGTTCCACATCTTCAGCAGCTTCTAGGAAACAGGCATCATCACTTGGATTTTCCCACTCACTGTCTGACAACAGGAAGTCTTGAGTCCAGCCATTCTCTAGAGATACGGAGCTTTTTGACAAGTCTGACGCATTAGAATGTGCATTTACATCTTCTTCTGTATGCTCCCTGCCATCCATCAGCATGTACTCTTCTTCCTTTGAGAAACAAGAACACTCCTTACTCCATATGAAAATGCTCTTCATACCTTTAACTGCTCTGCAGGTTTGGAGCTTGTACTGTCAGAATGGATACTACAGAAAGCTGGCCAACAAGATAAGGTTTTCCAGCATGTTAATGTATGGCCACGTTAACCTGTGCAAGCCTGTTTTAATAGAAGTAGAAATTTGCTGTTTTTCTAGCAGCCTACAAGTAGCCCGTTGACTACAGCTTTGTAAAATAATACAAAGTTAAGAATAAATCCAGTGTCTTGTTTAAAGATACTGTCAGGAYCTGAAAATACAGTTAAATGCCACTTTCTGTGAAATAACAGTAATAACTATTGAGTTGCTTGAGTACAGCTTAACATGCCATTCTAATGTATGACATTTGGAGATGTAAAGTTAAATTTAAAAGTTTCAAAATGACGATTCCTATTGCCTAAGCAGTGGAAAAACTCGTATGTTCAGAGCATAGAGTCTAGGTGCAGTATCAGRTCATTTAAATATAATACCTGTTTGGGGAAACACTCCTTTCATACATGAAATGAAGATAAAGTAACTTCAAMAATGAGGGTCACTGGCTTGTATTTGACTCTGACTGACTCAAGTGTTCCAGAACTATATTACCTGGCCCAGCATGAAGTCAGACACGCACAGTAGAGCTAAACTTGGGCAGTTTTTCTGTTCTGCTCTGAGAGTGGCCTTGTGACTTAGACATTGGGAACTGCTGTTCACATCAGAACAGAAGGAAATCTTTAGTCCCAGGTGAAGTTAGGCAGGTCCAGTAATACAGCACTGCTGGAGAACTTAAAAATYAATTTATGGAGTTACCCCACCAGCACAACTGCTCTGGGGACCTCTTCTATACCACTGTAACAGTATGTGGAGCTCAGCAGACTGAGATGTTAACGGGGATGTGCAGTGACTTCCACAGACTCACAAGAACTTTAGCATCTCAATWACYCAAAAACGTACCTCTTTGAAAAGAGATGGGAGACATATTCCAGGTGGTAATGGAAAACCTAAATCAAATAKAAGACATTAATTAAAGTCAACATTSCAAAAAGTTYTAAGTATTAATGAGATCACAGGTTACATACTTTGTGATTTGAAGTTTTGTTCTCTGCAGACAGGATCATGACACTTTTGATACCAGACTTCGTTCCTTAGATCTACCAGGATCCTAGTAATGAAATTATTTCCTTTTTTAGTAACAGTATATGAATGAAGTGAATTCATGCAAGAGGAAACTCTGATACTAAATGAACAGGTTTTGTTTGTCCTCAGCTGTGGACATTGCTTTCATTACTCTTGTCATACTTATAAAATTATTTTGTGCAATTTTTATTAAAAAACTTCACATTTCTTAAATTAAACTTYTAAGACTAAGATCTGAAAGTGAAATTTAGTCAACTTCATTACATTAAGTTTGGAAGAAAAATTCATAAAATTAAGATTAGCATATGGGACTTAACTGTAAGGTAAGATTTTGTTGCTGCTGCTGTTACAGATGATTATAAAAGCTACATAAAATCACTATTTTCTGTCACSGAGCTTTTTCAACCAAACTTCAAGCAACTCATTTGAGAAAAAGYAAACTCACCTAGCTGTGGAGTTTTTTGAATATGTTTGTTTCTCAAAAACACATTCCTTATGTTTCAGTGATTTTAAATATATTTTAAATTAATATATTTATACTAAAAATATACTCCAATTCTAATATAATCTAAAAACTTAAGTTTCCATCACATACTTGCTAAAACTATAGGAAGTCTGAGTCCTTGTAGAGTCACTAGCAAAACTCATCTTGGTGGATGTGGCAGGAATTACCATGCTARAATGGTAATTCTCAAATATTAAAATGACAGAGTCGTTTTAATAACATAAGAATATAATTTAAGATGCATTGTAAATTAATTCAAAACTGGTCTGCTTGCTCTCTTATTTTTCAGCTTCCTAGCTGAGAAGTGTCAAAGCATAGTACTGCTTAATAGCTTAAATGTATGCTGACCTTTTTGTTAGCATCTTTGGGCCCATATTTTAAATACCATGAAGATTACTTCATGGAGCTATTGGAAATCAAATTCGAGTTTTCACAAAGTAAACTTGGGGTGGGGTAAAGTTTGTTTGGCTTTGTGAGAGTTTTTTTTTGTAATAAAAACATTGTATCCTCACAGAGCAAGACATCAGAAATTGTAACAGTTGCTCATTCTATCCATAAAACTTTCTCAGCATTTTTAGAGAGTAACTGTTGAACAGGAATATAAATAAAGCTGTTTTAAGCTGAATAGTTAAAGAACATACATTATGTTGTTACTTTTGTGAGCTCTTCTGATATTTTCACACCAACGGTAACCAAAAATATCGTAAATAAGTAGTTCTTTGAGAGAGAAGTAACTCCATTGTCGTATACCTGAAAAAAAAAAAAATTTATATTCTTTAGAAATAGTGCTGCAGAAGACTCATTTGTTAATAGTAAAGTGGTCTCTTTACCTCCTTGTAGCCCATCTCTATTAACCAAAGAATGAACAAAATTATCAATTTCTGGATATGGCGAACCCTGGTAACCTTCCATGAGATCTGTGAAACCAAAGGCCATATACAACACTATTAATGGGTTTGCCACTGTAATATGTCATTGTAACACTTAAACTTTMTATAGACCACAAACAGAATCACATCATACCCTTGATTAAACCAGGGATAAACCACTGTTACTTTCTTGAAGTTCCTTAAMGGGCTACCCCCACCCCCAAGGTGCAGAGGGAACTGGGACAAAGYGGGGCAGCTGTGGGTACAGGAGGGAAAGGGTCAGTGGCATTCAGGTGTTGCAAAGCATTCTTCAGTACAGATGTAYTCTGCCTCCTGAAAGCCAGAAGTTACCAGGTGTACAAATCACAGAAATCTAAGTTAAGAATACTTGGATTTTTTTCCTATGCAGTAGAAAAGGCTTGAAGTACCTCTGCTGCTTCTGGTAGTTTTACTGTTTAAAAAAGCAGACATTTTTCTCTCCTCCTCAGAAAAGCCGGATGATAGAACTTTTGTGTCATCACTTACTCTGAAGAAAGGAGATAATACAAAGGGAAACGTGTGATTCTTACAGCGTAACACAGTACAGTATAAGTCCCAAGAAATTTTTTCTTCAAAACCAAGAAATTCTACTGGRAACTCCTAAATCACCCTGTAAGAATGTTAATGGAATAGTTGCTCCTTCATAGCTGCGATTTGTAACTGCTGCGGGAGAATTATCATTGAAACACATATTTTAAAATATTGTAMATTTGACTGGAATTAAGTAATTACCCAATGTTGCAGATTAAGGAGGAAAGAAAATATGCTTCTTCCAAGGAAACATCCTTTTCACAGTTGGGAATAAACTTATTATCCTCTGCTATCTTCAGAATCACATTTTTTCCTGCTTTTGATGACTTATACATCCGGAAATTTCTGTTCTTTGTATAAACTCCTGCAGGAAAACAGCTATTTCTTAACATAGCAGTGCTGGCTAGGATTTAAGATACTTAGAACTTGTAAATTAAACTATTTCCCTTAGGCCCAGCTAAGAGTCTAATGCATGGACAAAAAGTGTAACTGGCTGGTTCACACCCCATAGAAGAAATGCAACAAAGCAAGATCATGCACATACGTACACTTTTATGTTATACAAGAATTAAGACCAATGCTCAACACCTCTACATAGGCATTTTAACTATTCTGACATTATAATTATTGTAAGTTTCCCTTCAGTACAAGAAAATGATGCTTTCACATTAACTTTGTGAAATACAATGAGCCCAAAAAGCTGCAYAATTATTTTAACTAGAAAGAACTTAATCAAACTTCCCGTTTTCTGTGGACCAGACACAACTTGTCTGAAGCAGGCATCAGGAAGACTTAATTCCAATCTCAAAAACAAATAACAAAACAATGAACAGGTATCTTAAACATTGCATAATCTGTCTAGTAATTTACTGTGAAGGTGAGTTTTATTTGCAGATTGCATTGATTTTCATTAAAAGAACTCAGAGCTCATACAAGGAGAATATCCCACAGCTTTCTGTCACTGCAGCCTCATGATGTAATTCAGTATTTCAGCAATTTTGACTTTAGCTTTCCAATTTTGAGGTAATAACATAAATATGTATATTTATGTATAACATAAATATTGAGGACAGTTAATTTTGGGGAAGCTAACWTCAAATTCTTAAAAGGTGACATAGGAAACATTTTGCTTTAAGGTTCCTTTAAAGTACAGCATCTATGATCACAGTTTCAGTATGCATTTAAAGTCTGACTATAGGGACAAAAGTAAGAACACAACAGTTCCTACTCTCTGTAATCAAAGATTAAGGAACTTCTCATTTCTAA